TAATTTTGTGGACACATTAAAAAGGTGGGTGGAAGTCCACCTATTGTCATCATTCACTTTTGCTAAAAACATCATTTGTAAAACTATTGGAAATATACATTTTTTTGACCTGGTATGACCTGGCATGCTAGCCCAGGGGAAAAAATTAGAGCTATGGTTAAGGTAAGATCAGTCAAGTTCTCTCCATTCATGTCTAAAAACCGGTAGATAACACAGCAAGCTTGAACTTGCATGACATTCAAAACACACAATAGCACACAGTATTTAGTATAATGCAAAACCTTTAATTTATAACACAACTATGGTAAAGATTTCACTTAGACTTCAGCTTGTTTGTATTTCTTGAAACAAATGTCGACTGTCTAGTGTGGCGCTAAGCCCAGGAAGCAGCAACTGTGCCTTTGAAAAGTAGGGTTCAGGTTTGTGAACCCAATTATTGAAGACATATTTGTCTTGTCATATTTGACCATATGAGGATGTTGGATGAAATTTACCTGATTACTATAGATATAACACTTTATCATGATGACAATGTATGTACAAGAAATGACGTTAATCCAGCCAACCATTGTTGAAATAGTTTAGTCTTGGCCAAAGTGGTGGTGTGCCCAACGTTTCCATCCCTAGAGGGATGCAGCTTACGGGCTTTGTAATATCTTAAAAGATGAATCCTACAGTGAATCACATGTAGAAGAAAAGCTTGCGCCTCTGGCCAATCAATGATGTCAGAGCAGGTGTTTCCCATCAGCTGTCAAATCAAAACCACCTGCGGAAACACCACTGACTGCTGTGTGGGAATACGATCGTACTTTCAAATTTCAAACTATACAGAGACATGCTGATTTTTTTTATTTATCTTAAGTTGTTCCCTGGAGGACTAGGGTTAAATTGGAAGACTTAACAATTGTTTTTGCCAGTAAATAAAACAGCATATAGAAATAGCAAAGCAACACACAACAGAGGCAATGTTAGGACACAATTCAGATTCTGAATTCTATTGCTCAGATGCAACTCAGATCATTGATTTTTTTTTTTTTACGAAACACTTTGACTAAATGTGGAGTTTTACTATATCATAGTTCTCACCTCCTTCCAAAAGGCATCTCAGTGTGAACAGCTCAGTCTGAATTCATGCAACGAGTATTTTACTCCTAATCAACATTTGTAACTAATTACCACTGACAGTTGTTGTAAAGAGAAGCTCTTTATATCCTGAACCTTTTAACAAAGTCTTTTTCTGTGAACCAATTTATGTCACTCCTAGTGGGGGAACCCTATGATATACAAATTCTTATTCTCTTCAATTTTTTTTGCAAACTTAACATCAACCAATAAATTAAATCATAAACACCTTCTTCCATCACATCCGGGTTCACTTCCTTGACAAAAGGTGTGATATGTCTAACTTGTGTTTTTGTCATTGTTGTTTTGAAGGTCAGTTCAAGGACATGAAAACGTCACATTGGAATCGGTATTTTGCCATCAATGAGTTTAAGCTAGTGTGCTTACTGTGTGTCAGGTAACATTCTGTGTTATAAGGTGCTCTGTGGTTGGTACCAAGCTGGTACAAAGCTACCTACCGACGGACAAAAACAATACATGGCTCAAAAAACCTGTTGGCACCTACAAATGCGACAACTGTTAACACTGCAACAAGATCATATGTACCCAAACATTCACAGATCTAAAAGCGAAGCACACACACCAACGCAAGGATATTATCAATTGTAACAACACCAATGTCGGATACTGCCTCACCTGCCCCTGTGGATGTTTTAATGTAGGACGTACTAAACGCAGACTAAAGGACCGCATCACTGAACACAAAAACAGAATCAAAACAAACAACATGGATTATCCCATGGCAAGACACTGCAACCTACATCACTCCAGCAATGAAAGAGCCGAACGCATTGAGCACATCAGACCAAACACAAGAGAGGGTGATCAAGTCTCCAGAGAGAAACTTTTTGGATTTTTAAACTGAAAGCCGTGAGTTTTCCAGGATTTTTCCATAGATTTGTGAACCTCTTTTGTAAACTTTTTTCAGTCCACTGTATCTTTTTCAAGTTTTTTCATTTAGGACCAACACGCTACATGACGCAGGATTCCACAAAAAGGAAGCATAAAACTATTTCTATCCCAGCACACCTGTGCAGTACTTTAACGGCCTGATGAAGGCCACTATGCTGAAACGTGTCATTGTCTTCTACTCTGCCTTTTCTCTCTTTTCCAACTTTAACCACTACCACACAAGAGTGCCTGATACCGCCTCAGAGACCTCTCCACTACTACCCGGAGGTAAGCCGGTCCGCTGTTGGCTTCCTTCAGCTGTCATTTGCCATATTTAAAGAAAGAAATGATTCCAGCAAAACAAAAAAATGTTCTGAAAAATAAATCCTTTTTAATCCTTCGGGCTTCGGAGTGTAAATGTAGCTTTTTCTGCATTAACGCTTTTCACAAGACAAAATCTGTCCTACTTTAAATAATCATACAAATACAAGCATTCTGGACTAGACTACTACTGGAAGCATCTAATTTATAATATAGCAGGAAGGCTTTGGACTTAGGATGCTAAAGTTTTGCTACCTGTCATTGGCAACCAGGCTATATTGGAAAACGTGTCTTTGACTAATGAATACTTTTAATTCTTTAAAAGCAATACAAATTGATCACTCTGGCCTTCAACTTCCTGAAGGCACAGGTTACACACAGAAAGTGAGCCAGGTAAGTGCCTCAAACACCTTAGGCCATACAGTGACATGCTTGACCGTAACTTGACCACATTTCTCAGGTAACTATGATGATAATTTACACCAAACCTGCTGACAGCCAGGTGTGTGAACCCATTTGACAGCAAGCGAAAAAAAATCGAGAGTAACGTGTAACAGCAGACAGTAAATGATGGCTGTTATGAAAGAGTTTGTCCTGTAGTAGAGGAGAAACGCAAGAGCAAAACGAAAGTACAAATCATACAGAGTGAATGCTATCATTATTGTTTGTTTTTCTGTCTCTGTGTGTGACACTTTTTTCTCACTTTTCCATCAGGATAATTCACATTCAAATATTTGTTTCCAACTTCACTGACCGCCAGGTGTTAGATGCTACAGGGTTCACACCCTGAGCTAGTTTGACCTCAGACGATCCTTAAGGTCCAGAGGTCACATTAGTCACTGCAGTAATGACCTTCACAGACAGAGAGAGGTTTGACCCAAAATGTGTGTGAGTTGCAAGGTGATAAAAAGGCATAATTAAACTGCAAAGAGCGCCTAGGAACCTCTGTGCAAAGTTTTTTAAAGTTTTGTGAGACATGATCAAATTAACATCAATAAGCCGCCAAAAGGAAACACTTCTGTTAATCACCTGAACATAACCATGTGGATAAAACTAGCTATTGGAGACTTTGTATAAATACTTTTCAGCTTTCTTATGTCTTCTCAGACAGAGCAGGTGGCTACAGCATGGTGGAGCCTCTGCCAACTCACCTGCTGACTGACTATCATTGGGAATCGCTGATTAAGCTCTGTCTGAAGCCGAAGGAGGCCTGGGAAAAGGAGCAATTAAAAGAGGACAACAACAGATTCATGTAATGTGGTTCAGCCTCGAGAATCTCAAAGACTTTTCCTTTTTTCTGAATGGAGAGATCATAAAGAACTTTTTGTGGGCCCATAAAGCCCATATGGCAATCATGTGTGTCTGACTAAAAACAGTCTCACCTGAGAGTCCATTTAGTAGCTGGTCTGAAATGTTTAGTCTCATTACATAATCTTCATCAGCAGATCACATCTTGAGTTGAGCCTGTTATGCCAATTGCTGTTTCCAGTGTCAAGAATGAAATATGATGCTCAACTTTTATTAGAATACATGTTTGGCTCTCTAGCAGAGGTCATCTTTAGGTGCATAGTAACCTTACTGCTGACAGCAAGGCTCCAAGAAGTAACTTCACCTAGCCAATATATATATATATATATATACAATATGTATTCCATAATTAAGGTCATGTTACATGAATAAAAGCTCCAACTCAGCTTCACGTTTTAAAATACTTTTTCAAGGTCAAAAATGAAGTTTGAAGCATAATCCCTTTTTATTATGCAAACATGGTTCCTCAAGAGAACAGAACTAAGTGTATGAGGGTATTTTCTGCAGGCTTCACAATCTAAAATAGATTCAAAACCATATTCATGATAAAGCTTGCATAAACACCTTGACTCACACTAGCACCTAATGCACTAACTCTTGAAAAACATCACTAACTCCCCTCTCTAGCCCACCCTCCTCATATTGTTCAAGAGCAGCACCGGGGGCTGCTTTATCAAACCAAGCATTCCCAGTAAGGTACAGCATAGCTCACTTTACGTTGCCTCAGTCTGTTTTCCTTTACCCAGCTGTACAGGTTAGATACCCTGTAGGCTGCTGTATAAGAACACAGACTGATACAGCAGCAGGTATGGAACAAGTCTAGACATATAGACCTCTGTCTTATGACTGGCTAGCAAGAGTATCGGGCTCAAGGACCCTAGAAGAAGGTGCCTCAGTTCAACAAGCTGCAGGCCTGCATGACCTGCCATGACAAAATCATTAGTCAAAGTGGAGACCAAAGACAAGGCCATTTTTTCTGGAAGTTATGAGGAAGAAGACACATGAGAGGTTTTTGAGGGAGGAGAGGGGATATTTTAACTCAACTTTTCCTGACAAAATAAACTAATGTACACAAACCCAAAACTACACAAATGACAGTGTGTGTTTAGGCTACTGTAAAGGGCAAAACTTAAGTTGAAGATGGAAAAAAATGCAGACTTCATTACCCATAGGTGCCTTGAGGGCAGGTGGTGACAACTGATGCAACACAGTTCGAGCAGGAGAGAATAGTGGAACAAAGGTGGGAAAATGAACTAAATAAACATTTTACATCAGCTATAACATAATGAGGAACTGCTAGCCAGATATAATTATTTGCTAAATTAACCAAATAAAAAAATGTAGATATTGTAGCCTACCTGCATATGAGGTGTAAAACACCGTCACGAGCAGCCACAGAACCCACGTCTCGCGCACGGTGCTCCATCGATCCATCATTGCATTAGAAGCTATCGATGAAGCTGCCAATATTTCTCTCCTGGCTCCTCTGCGCTCCGCTGGACACCTGCAGTCAGGGGAACTTCAGCTCACGCGAGAGCAGTATCACAGTAAGGAAACTTGATGACTCGCACCCCTGCGTCTGCACGCGCACTGCACAGACGGGAATTAAGGGCGCGCGCGCGCATAGATAGGGATACACTTAATGAGAGGTGAACTTTTGGCAGCCCATGTACTACTCTCAGGTGCGTTTTCCTCGTAGTGGACGGATGGTGAAGAAGGACTAGCGGGAGAAAAAGAAATCTCTTAATCTTGGAAGGCTTTTTCCTCCTTCACCCGCCAACAACTTTCCTCACTTTCTCTTCCCTCCTCCTCCTCCTCCACCACCTCCCCTTCCTCCCTCTCTCCTCCGGGGTGACCCCTCCCTCCCTCTTTGGAGCCTCTTGGTTTGAGCTCGTGGGCTGTACAGCAACATAATTACCGCCCATGTCATTATTAGAAGAACTTGTAGCTGAGTGATTTAAGGGGCTATATGTGGTGTCTTCATCAGACTCACTACCGCGCAAACGGGCACGTAGTGGCAATCACTGGCACATAACGCTGTAACCATCGACTATAAAGGTTGTAACAAGTTTCAATGATGGACTAAACCTGCTGGCAAAGTTTATATGGTACATATACAAAATATCCAACATGAACAGTAAATGCCTGTGCCATAGCCTTTTTGATTTTCTATTCCTTCTGTCTTTACACACACACACACACACACACACACACACACACACACACCCCACACACACACACACACACACACACACACACACACACACAAAGCATGCCAGAACAGGACAAAGGTGCTGCCCAACTAATAAAAATATGTTGCTGCGGATTCCAAATTCCAGTGCCTGTCTGTCTTTGCCCACCACACACTCTTCAAAAACACGCACACACACGAACACACACGAACACACACGAACACACACTCCATATTTTGTCCTGTAAAAAACCAAAAGCTGCTGCTTGCTTTCCATTTCAATGGTCTGTTATTCTTTGTCTCCAATGTGGAAAAGTCCAAGAGAAAAAAAAAGGAAAAAAAAGAACGTTTGAGGGGATTTTAGGAAAAGTCTATTGGTTTGAAGAGTTTGACAGCATCAGAGCTCAGTACATGCACACACATGCATATACATTCACAGGATTACCTATGTGAGCCTGCAGGGATCCGCTGTACTGCTTCAGCTTCCATTAACATTGTCTGTATTGTTTAAGACTCACTGTGTCCTCTGGACTGTGAGCAGATGAATTGTTTTATTTTTTAAGAAAAATGTAGAAAAAGGATCTTGACATAACAGAAAACTTGTATAAATAAAATATAAAGTCAATTTGGTAAATAAATTGAAGAAAACTAAAATTGTTTTAAAAAATAAATAAAAACAACTTCAGACTGTCACACGATGCAACGTGCACTGAGATGGAGGGATAGTTTAAGGTTTACATTTAAAATAAAAGACAGTGTAAGGTTGTCAACATGATCAATGCTTCAATATTTTTTGACAACACTTGTTTCAAAAACAATACAATCTCAGTTATTTTAGTAATGATAGCATTAAGAAAACAACACATCTTTAGTTTACCATCTTTAGCCACTAATAATAAATTCCTTTTTTGGTAACAGAAGTAACATTGGTGCTCATACATACAGAGGGAGAACAAAATGGATTCCAGGCATATTTCCCGAGACACCAGGTTGCCTTTAACTTATGACTGGCAGCTACACTTTTTTGCTCAATTCTGTGTGTGTGTGTGTGTGTTAGAGTGAGAAGGGGGAGGGGGGGGGCATTAACAACAGAGATTAGACAAACAGAAGAAATATACACACATCCAATATAATTTACTATGAAGGCCTCTGGAATCCAAATTGAGGTGAAAAGTGTTGTGCTTATGTTTGTGATATACAGTTGTACCTATTTTGTTGTCCATAATCATAACTATTATGACACATTTCTGTAAAGTCATCATGTGGATTTAAGATTTTGCAAAAAAAAAAAACATTATCAGGAACCAACATGTAAAATGTAGCCAGAGTTACAGAATTCATTGAGAGCCGGTGGACACATTTGGGGAATATGAATTCTGACCACTGGGAGGCGCCAAATCTCTTTACCGAGCGAGCACTGACCGACAAGCGACTTCCTTTTGATTTTATTAGTTTTATCCGCACTTTGAGTATATTGTTATTGTGGAAAAAAAAAAGTTAAGATTAGAGGATGTGTCACGTTTAATACTACAAAGAAGCACGGGCGATGCGAAGCTGCTTATGGGGTTGACCGAGCTACCAAAGCGTGTAATAGATAATCTCTCGGGGATATGCGCCCATGTGACTCTCTCTCTCTCTCTCTCTCTCTCTCTCTCTCTCTCTTTCTTTTATCCTCTTAGTGCGGTTCTCTCTTTAAATCAACTCTCATCCAACAGAGCTGCTTCTCTGCTGGTGTCTCACAGTTTACTAAACAAAACAGAGAGGCGGCGGTGGAGAGGAGCCATGGCGAGTCCCGGACAGAAAGTTGTTCTGATCACCGGCTGCTCCTCCGGGATCGGTCTGAGGATGGCCGTGATGCTGGCCAAGGATGAGAAGAAGCGCTATCACGGTAGGTGTGCAAGGTGTGTGGGTTACATGAGAAAGAGAGAGTAAACTACTACGACTTACATTTTGGATTAGTCAATAAACAAGTACATTCACCGATCTGTAAAATTCTTTCTTATATATTGAAGATTAATTTATAATTTAAGCATTTTAAAAGCAAAATTAAAAAAAAATGTTTTGATTGTTCGAGCTCTGTAACATGTAGGTTTATGCTGTTGTGGTAGTAGATAAAGAGTCTTTGGGGTTTGAACTGGCCCAAGAAGCGATTTGAATGCATGAATAATGGTCTTGTAAATTGAGATGAGCTCTTTTTTTAAGTCTAAATAAATAGGCTAACTAATTCATATTAATAAACATAATATGCATATTAATCTATAATTAAAATCATCATTTGTCACTCTGCCCACCCTCACAATCCCTCAGTCACCATCACGTTTCGGCTTCTTCTGCAGAGTTCACAGAAGCTGCTTACATTGTGACTGAGTCTACATAAGAGTATAACATAGTCCACATGTAATGCAGATTAAAGCAGCCGTCTGTGAGTTTGTGATTACACACCAGAGGAGTGGTTTTCATCAGATTTTGCCTGAGATACTTTTTGCAGAGGTTTAAACATAAAGGACATTTTAAATTGAACAGTCTGAGTCTAAATAAGGGTCACATTTTAACATAATGACTGAAAGAGAAAACTCCATAGCCTTGAGTATTTCCTCACCACACAGAGGTGTTGGATGCAGGTGCAACACAAATTTATTTATGGACCTCAAAGGCCACATCACTGTCAAACAACAGTACTTACTACCTAATCAAGGCTCTGTGCCTTGACAAAAGTGTATGCATCCAATTTTAATGTCTTTTTATTTGACTTTATTTTCCCTTTCAAATATTTTTTGCCCAATTGTTGGTGATCCACTAGAAAGACCATACGAGTATTTAATGTTTAAGATCATTATACCTGATATTTTAAATCACAGCTAACCATTCAAGAGTTACTGCACATTTAAACAACCTTATAAACTCATGATATGATTGTGCTATGAATGCTGGTGTAAAAAGTACAGTCTTTTACAAAATGACACATTTTAGCATTACAATCATTTAGCAAAATAATGATTTTGAATTTAAAAAAGGATGTTTAAACTCTCTTAGTATTGTGACAGGGCAACTTCTGCCTTCTGCCATGAATTAATAATTTTAAAATTGGCAGAAATTCATAAAGTCAAACAAAACTCAAGCTAATTGTTTAACTGTAAATGTATATTAATGCTGAATTAAATGTAATGGTAAACCAGCGAGACAGAGGCTTACTTGATTTTTAATGAAGGAAAAGCTTCTCACTCGGTGGGCCATAAACGCCGTGTCTCTGATCCCAACTTAACCTTTTGTCACTCAAGGAACACATAACACCAGACCATAAAGCCTTACTTCAGCCTTGCTTAGGCTAATAATAGCTCAGCTAACTGATGTGTTTTGTGGACAACATGCGGGTGAGGGCTATTCCCAGAGGAGGCAGGTGACATGAGCGATACGATAATGCTAATATGTTACTGTAACAGGAGTATTTATGAGCACAGAAGGTCCACATTAAAGCTCCTTAACATTAACGGCTATTTGTAGCACTAGCTTTCCTATTATGTGTGTGTACCTTAGTATCTGTTCTCAACTGTCATGCCATATTTCTGTTGCGTCTTCCTCCCTGGTCTTCATGACCGTTGCTCCTTTCTTTCCGCAACCTCCTATGACAGGACATGCACACAAAGACAGGACAACTTATCTTAAAAAATATCTGTACATACAGTGTACACAGAGAACATGCACTGATGCTGTAGTAAAATACAAAGGATCAGCTTGTGCCGTTCAAGTCCTTTTTGCCACTATACACACATCCAAAGACTGGATTCTACTACAAACAGCATGATGTGTGTACCTTGTGTGGTCTACATGCACACTGATCCAGTGAACTCAGTGTGACTCATGTGAAGTAACAATGTTTTTTTGTAATCTCATTTCGCTGGGCATGCTGCCTCATCACAATCCTCTTTACAGCAGCAGCCTGAAGGCCTGTGGTGTTGGAGACACACTTAGGGAGTGTTAAATCCATTCACAAAGTCATATTTGGAAAGTGCCAATGGAAATAAAAGGGGCATTATTATACAAAGGAAGATTGACACGCGGCAATAATGGAAAGACTAACGCCTACACACAGGTAAAAATGGGATTGCAGAGATCTTTGTGGGATTGAAACATTAACACCACTTTATAGCAATTATTTATTTTATCCTTTGCGGTTTTTTGTAACCATACAGAGTTAACAAAGTTTGTGGCTACATCGTGCAGGAGGCTCTGTGAGGCTGAATTTCTGCACAGCAATCCGGTGATCTACGTGGCTTCATCGGCATGCTAACATGCTAACAATGACATTACTGAAATATATTTAGCTGGTAGAGTGAGTTTGCCTGCATATTTCTGTTAGCATATAAACATTTTGTAATTAGCAAAAATAAATTGAAAGTACAGAAGAGGCTGAAAGTCCAAGTACTGAACACATTTGTGACTTGATGATGATGCCTAATGTAAAGTTTTCACTTTACATGCTGTCGGGGGACATGAGGTCATGTTGAAAATGGCATGCCAGAGGAGCTGGTGGCGCTGTGGTTAGTGCGCGGGCCCCATGTATGGAGGCTGTAGTCCTCCAAGCGGGTGGCCCGCGTTCGGATCCGACCTATGGCTCCTTTCCGTAGTTCCCCACTTTCTCTCTCCCTGGTTTCCGACTCTATACACTGTCCTATCTCTTGAATAAAGGCACGAAAAGCTAAAACATAAATCACCAATGTCAATTCCTAAATCACTATTCCTTGAGTCATTCAAAGTTTCAGTCTGGACTAAAATGATTGGCTAGCTTAACATCTTAACCACAGACTACTAACAATAATGACTCAAAGCAATCAATGAATCTCTATAATTTAAAAGCGTAAGTCTAGACATTTTTTATTAGCAAAACATAGTAGTTATTGATTAATGTTCAATAAACTATAAACCCAGAATCCAAATCATAGATACACCAACAACCTGACTGTGTAAATGGTTCAGGGTCATAACAATGTACTTTGAAATTGTCCAAACTAATAAAATGGAAAAATGGGGATTAAACTACAGGTGCAAGAAAAAATATTATGAGCAAGATAGTTAGACATGATCTCATGGAGACGTTTATGGACCTTCAGCTTTCTAGAATGAATAGTACACATCAATTTAGATGGCTGAAAACTACAGAAGGTTTGTCTTTGTTGTTAAAGGCTTGAGAGGATAGAACACCCTGGATATTTCCGAAGAAAATCAAAATTCAGGAAGATAGTGATTTTTTTTAACAACGTCTATACACTGCTTAATTCTGGTTTTCCTTTCCCCCAACTCTTCAGTCATAGCAACAATGCGTGATCTGAAACGTAAAGATAAGCTGGTGGAAGCTGCCGGGGATGCATATGGGAAAACTCTTTCTCTTGCTGTGCTGGACGTCTGCAACGACGAGTCTGTCAAACAGTGCATCAACGGTATCAAAGATCGACACGTGGATGTCCTCAGTGAGTAAAGTATACCTTCATAGTGTTTTACCGTGGTATGCAACTCTTTCCTACAAGAGATTGTAATTACAGATTTTCTTCTCTGTCTGCTTTGTTTCTATCTTCTTTCCTGAATAGTCAATAACGCGGGTATCGGCCTGGTGGGCCCATTGGAGAGCATCCCCATCGAGGAGATGAAGAAAGTGTTCGAGACCAATTTCTTCGGTGTTATCCGCATGATAAAGGAAGTTATGCCTGATATGAAGAAGAGGAAAGGAGGACACATCATCGTGGTCAGCAGTGTGATGGGACTGCAAGGTTAGTAGACAGAGGTGTGACAGTAAAGGGAAGGTGAGCAGGTGGGGCGTTGAATGGTAAAAGGAGAGATTACAGGTGTGTTATCTCCAGTGTGAAAGACTTATGGAATAGAAGCACTGCTGTATGTCTTTAACAAAAGGCTAGACGAAGGACTCTGACTACAAAAATGATTTATAACACTTTTCATGTACTCTGTTCATACAGGTGTTGTGTTTAATGACGTGTATGCGGCTTCCAAGTTTGCTATGGAAGGCTTCTGTGAGAGTTTGGCTGTGCAGCTCTTGAAGTTTAAGGTCACGTAAGTACTTCCTTTTGTATTTTCATCATTACTTACAAACCATTAACAGAACTGACATATTCTGTGGAGACTGACAACAACATTCAGCACGTTGCTCACACTTATTTAGAGTCAGCATGTAAACAGACTTGCATATCAGAACGTGCAGCTTAAACCTCTCGTGAAATCAATGATTTAATTTATTTGTCGATTAACTTTCTGTCATGGTATTAATCAATGACTGATGGACGGGTGTTAGCCAGTTTCTCTAAGATCTATCTAACATGCTCTCTTCTGTTGGGTTAAAGTCCTCCTATGTTCCTCCTTGGTTGCCCATCTCTCTCCACAGGCTATCAATGATCGAGCCGGGCCCGGTGCACACAGAATTTGAGGCAAAGATGATTCAGGATGTGAAGCAGAAAGAATACCCCGGCGCTGATCCTGATACAGTCCATTACTTCAAAAATGTCTATCTTCCCTCTTCTGTTGACATCTTTGAGACTCTGGGACAAACACCCGATGACATCGCCAGAGTGAGTTCACAAAAGTAGCTTGTGATTAAGCATAGCTGTTGGTTTATCTGTCAGTCCTCAAGTCTAATGGAAATCTTGTTTTTTGTCCATCCTTCAGTGCACCAAAAAAGTGATTGAAGCAAGCAGCCCACGTTTCCGTAATCTGACCAACCCCTTATACACGCCCATCGTAGCGTTGAAATACGCTGATGAAACCGGAGGCCTATCAGTCCATGCCTTCTACCACATGCTCTTCAACATGGGCACTCTAATGCACGTCAGCATGAGTGCAATGAAGTATCTCACCTGTGGGTGTCTGAGGAGCAGAACAGTTTCCCCAAACTAGATATTTATATTGTGGATGCAAATGTGAACGACACACACAAGCAGAGTATGTGGGCGACAATACAGGCCACATACTACCTCAGCTGTGGTTGTGAGGGGACAGAAGAAATACGAACAAACATATGTACATTTTTTATGACCTGCCATATTTCCTGCTGCATTCAGGTTCTGCATAGTGATGAAAAGGTATTTCAACTTCAGTGATTAAAATGCATTTCAACTTTGACCAAACAAAATACCACAGATTTGTTAGCTCTGTTAGCCTGCCGAGTGCCAAATAAATAGCATTTGCATCTATGAGATATTGTAACCTATGATTGTAACCTGACTTTATTATTTTTAGAAAGTATTATTTACACAGAACTTCATATTTCATATTGTTTTAAATTGTAAATTATTAATAAAGATAGCCCAACACCTTGTTGACTTTAGCCTATGTATTTTCCTGTATGTACGTAATTTTGGTCATTTCATATTTCCAGATGTCGTATGGGTGTTTACACCCTTCAGCAAAAGTATCTCTGCACCTATAGGACTCATGGAATTTATAATTGGTTTGCAATAAAATCACTTAAATATTCTGGAACTGAAGGTAACAATAATGAAACCCTATCACATTTTGTTTGATAATTTTGCTCAAAGTACTGATGCTGGCTGTTAGAGATACCATGTGTGCATTTATATCATAAGGGGAAACACTAAAGCATGTAAGAAAATAAAGAAAACTGGATTATATGCTATTAAACTATTAACGTTATCTACTGGTATAACAATTCACCGCTAGAAACTTTCAGTGATGATAAACATCTTGTGTAGGTGGTTCTTGACAAACACTCTCTACACTTCCTAATACTGTAACACTAGTATTACACTTTCAGAACGTTGTGAATTTGGTTTAAAGTTGGATGATGACAGACATTGTTGCCAGAGCAAGAAACATTTTCTCACTCAATCTCCGGTTACCTCAACTCCAGTCGTTTTGCCTTAACTAACAGAGACTGCCAGTGCCATCAATAAGTTACATTTTATGCAGCTTCGTTTTCGTAGGTGCAAAACTGAGTTGCAGTATCTTCGTGCTGACTTACCTTTCATGTCTTTGTGTCCTCATGTCAATCTTGGATATTTACACTCACTACAAGAAATGAGACACAAATCATTTTATCATGTTTTTTTTTATATTGGAGATTCTTTTTAAAAATGGAGAGGTTAGAAAGGTTCAGAAAAGTTTAAAGCCTGATGCAGAGCTGGTTAAACACTGAAGCATCTGTGTCTGCAACATGGCAACCTACATACACATCAACTCTAGGGAGGGGGGTGCTGTCCAATGTTTTTAATTTGGACTACAGTACCAGTTTTTAGCTCTAGGTGTCAGATTTAAATATAGCTCCTTTAATATGAAATATTTAACATTTTTCTATTTTTATTATGTGTTGTGTCTCATTTCTTGTAGTGAGTATTATTATCTTAGATTGATAAAAGGGCATTGCGTCACATGACATAGGTACGAAAATAATTAAACATTTACAATAAATAATACAAAATAGAAAGGAACAAAAATGTGTCATAATGATGTTTGGCTCATGTTTAGCAGCAAGTATTGACATCAATATTATCAATAAATAATAATATTGACTTATGGGCATTAGGTCTAGTTACATGAAAGGTTTTTTTTTAAAAAAGACTAATTATTCATGATAAATATGTTTTTAAAAAATGTGTAAAATTGCAGTGCAAACATCATATAATGAAGACAGTAGAGTAATTTATTGATAGTCCCTTTCAGTTTGTTAGATGGGAGTTAATGTAAATATCCTCTCCTCCTTTAGGGGGGTAGAAAAAAGCTATCTGGTAGGTTTTATGTTTTTAATGGTCGAGAAGAAAACATAATCTACCAAAATAACAATTCTACTACATTTTTAGCATTAGAAACCAAGAAGAATTTAGTATTGAGTAGGATTTTGTAAAAAAAAAAAAAACTTGAACACAGTTGTTTGAGTTTCTCAGCTCAGATTTCTTTCATACCGTTTCCATTCGTCTGATCGAGTCATCGGAGCTCAACTACTCAAGTCTCTTTTTTCTTTTTTTTTTTGGAACCGCGGGAAATTGAAACTAAATCGATAGCCGCACGATCGATCATCAAAAAAAAAAAAAAACGTTTCGTGGAGCTCATTCATTACCAGTGCCAATGTAAGTCTAACCTAAAATATGAATAACATTGATGAAACAGCTGTTATTTCAACACAACTAATGAATTAGTACAAAGCTATTGTCGTGCGTCGGTGACTCTTGACCTTTCGGTTTGCTTTCTGTCCGGAGATAACTTTCACTAAGACTGAGCTGCAACATTAGCTTTCCAGCTCTGTAATGCCAACTTTTTAATAACTATTATACTCGTATAATGCTACACATGCACCAACAAATGTCATATGTCACGTCTGTATTAGTGTAACATATTCGTGTCACTGTTGCTTTGTTTCTTTGGTTGTAAACAGGAAGTCTGTCCTTCTTGGGAAGAAGGATTCCTGAGGTTGACCTCCTCTTTACCCTACTTATCGAGGGGTCTAGACTAGAGGATGTAGTTTGTAAGATAATAAACCCCCTTTAGGTAAATGACGAGTTGTGAGTTTAGGTCTAATGACAATACACTTGACGTTTTGCTCATCATTTTGGATTTGTTTGACATTTGAAGTGCATGATGTTTGTGTGTTTTAAGGCCCAGAGAGCAGGATGGAGATCAATGTGGGAGATGTTCAGCACTGTGAGGAGCAGCTGAAGACAACACTGCACTGTGATGACAAGGAGAAGGTAAAGCGTATTTCTCTGCGTATTTGTGCTCTGTAAAGTGCCACAGTTACCCTGACTGCTGCTTTTCATTTTTACCCGTTCAGCTTCGCAGGAAGTTGGCACTGTTACAAAGGGAATATCTGAGGACAGCCCAGCGACTACAGGTTAGACATCAGACCTTTTTACTTAGCGTCTATCGGCCCAGTGAAGAAATGACTGGTCTCTCACCCACACGTGTTGATCTGCCCGTAGCGTGCTGAGCGTTCAGAAGTGGTACGGAGACATGTGAGGAGTAGGATTGAACAGCAGAACCAGCAGGACAAGAGGGATCCAGAGGTGACGTCAAACCCCTGTCTTAACCCAACTTCATTGTCTCTGAACGTTAGTAATGGGACAGCCTCAGGTGTACCTCAGTGCCAGCAATCCAATGGAGGTAAATCTATCCTTTTAAACTCCAGCTTTTGAACTCCAGCGCTGTGTGTGTGTGTGTGTGCGTGCATGTCTGACTGGGACAGGGACACCAATCCCAGTCCCTCATGAAATGTCACATGAACATGTCTCACAAACTGCATGTCACTGATCTTTCTCAGAGATGGTGTAAGACTCCCACTCTGCTGACATTTTCTTTCGAAAAACATGGAAAAAAAAAATCAGTGTGCATGTCTGACTGGGACAGGGACACCAATCCCAGTCCCTCATGAAATGTCACATGAACATGTCTTACAAACTGCATGTCACTGATCTTTCTCAGAGATGGTGTAAGACTCCCACTCTGCTGACATTTTCTTTCGAAAAACATGGAAAAAAAAAAATCAGAGTTTGTCCAACATAAGACTTCTTCTGCAATATCATTTAGGTACAGTATATTAACTTGCCAGCTTTAAAATGATGGGCCGATGTCTCTCAACAGGATCTATAACAGCAGATACTAATGTTCAATTGATACACCGCTGCATCCTTATTTTAAATATGCCAATTAAGAAAAGCAAGACATGCAGGTTTTATTCAGACTAAAGCCTTTCTATGGAAATGTGTACAGTGATAGAGTCATGTAACTGAGTGGATTAAATGGTCATTACTCTGAGGAGCAGAACATGTTTTGTTTGTAACAGCAGTGCATATCAGTATTCTCAAGTTTCTCCGTTATTTACTAGGTACCACAGATACTGAGAACCCCAGGAGGAGTCAGGTGATCAGGTTCCTGCTTCCCTCTGATGATGCTTGCCCGCAAACACCGGATTCCAGTAATGACTCCGCTAGAGGTCATAGGCCCAGTCCTGCGCTGCGCCTCAGGTCGCGTAGCAGCAGGCTTCGCTGGGAAAGGAGGAGTGCTGCTGAGGCTGGAAGGAGCACAAACGACACTGAGGAGGGACTGGAGCAGAGTGAAAAGATGGAGAGTCCTAGAACAATACGAGGTGAAGAGAGAGTCACAACAGAAGGAGCAGAGGTTGTGTATGACAGTGAAGAGCTGATTTCTAGTGCAAGATCTGACTCCCCCTCTCTGCTGCTGCCACACTGGAACACATGTGGACAAACTGAAGCTGGAAACATGGAGGGACAAGAACACAGGGAGAAAGAATCAGAAGGGGGAATAGAATCAACCTTTTTGCTGCTCACGTGTCGGGACCCTGCTTTGTACCCTGACGGGAGGAAACAAAATGAGACAAAGAATGGAAAAGGGAAGGAGACAGAAGGGGAAAACGGTAGAAGCAATAGGGATGGGGCGCTGTGTGAAGACAGCAGTGAAAAAGATACTGAACAAAACGCAGCAGTGAAAACAGAAAGTGTAAGAAGTCATCATAACAGCCTGGAAGTCAAAGAAACCTGTGAGAGGGTTGGAGCACAGCAGAATGTAAAGGGTGTAGGTATCCTTGACTCCTGCACCTTAGTGGAGGGACTGCTTTTCCCAGCAGAGTACTACGTCAGAACCACAAGACGTATGACTTCTTCACACAGCCAGCCGGACATGCAGGCTGTCATACACACCCAGCTGGGAATCGGACGACCTCGCAGGAGCCGGGGCAATGGAAGAGGACTGAACAAGCGCACGCACAACCGTGACGGGTCAGATAAACTGTCTCAGACAAGTTTTTCCTCACCAACAACGGCATCTCCAGCTGTAGGTCCCCGTATAGAATCACCTGCTGTTGGAACGCCTACTGAGCTGATCAGTCAGAGTTCCAGTGAGATTTCAGATCAAGTGGTCTCAGCAGATACATTATTTTCTCCTAAGGTCACCGCTGTTCGTCCAGCAAGAGGGAGGCGGAGAAGAAGAGGGAGAGGGAGAGGGAGAGGGAGACCTCAGACCCCACGGAGCTCTTTTAATTTAGATACCAATTATCTAGATCCTCGGCAAATTCCAAATGATCTTCAGCTTACAAGCTCCCTGGTCTCTGCATCCCCATCTCTCCGTGGTCCAGCTGTTGGATCACAGCCCCTCCTCACACAAGGAGAAGCAGTTTCAGTGACAGACCCACCTGAGCCTGCCTACGTCCACAGCACAGCCGCACCGCTGCCATTTGGAGGGAATGGAGCTCAGTCGAGCGCTCCCTCTGAAGATCATGACAAGGTCTACCCTATCTTTGTGAAGAGCTGTGGCAGGACTAACAGAACCACACGGCTGAATGGAAGTAAGATTTGTTTTGCGGATGTGTTAATGTGTGTGTGTCAATGACAGAGAAAGGGAAAGAAAAGCTGTTCTGGCTATAATGTAGAAGAATTGACCTTTTGGATACAGTAATATGTTATTATACTAATTTCAGTTAGGGCTGACGTCAAATTTAGATTACTGTTCAGTTGAAGAGACTAAAAACACATATTTCTACTCATTAATCTACTAAGTGTTTTCTGTCTGTGACCACAGCTCTGTGCTTGAGAAAACATTGTTGTTCAATTCGTGTTATTATTGTATTCGCTTTGAACTTAAACTTTATCGATACTGTTCTTGCCTAAAACTAAACATAGCCCTGTCATTCAAAGAAAACATCATCTGTTAGGACTGCATTTAATGATTTGTGTTTGATATTAGAATCTGACAACCACTTTCTTCAAGTTATTGATTTATTGTTTTGTCTATGAAAAAGTGCATAGTGCGTAGTTTCTGGGAGTCCAAGATGACATATCCAAATGTCCTTTTTTATTTTTTTAAACAACATTTCAAATACAATTACAGCACACCATAGTTCCCACAAGCTGTGGTTAATGGCTGGCAGAGTGTATAAAAGCCTGTTAGAGAGACAGGTAGACATTACATTATTAAAAAGTAAACAAGTGAAAGAAAGCTCTGAAAGTATTTTCATTAAATTGTCTTTGTGTCCTTCAGGCTCAGAAAACAGGCAATCTCTCCTCCTGCCGTCCTCTTCACCGTCCCAAACATCTCTGCTTCCTCTCCCCTCTCTGTCCTCCGGCCCACTGGTCAACAACCTGATCAACTTTGACATTCACCAAGACTTCCATCTCCCCGATGACCAGTTTGCCTCCCTGAAGCTGCACAAGCTTCGCCGAGTCGCAGTGGAATCGGGAATTGAACATTTTACATCACCGTCTTACAACACACGCAGTAGCACACGGCACTGTGATGCTCCCCGCAGCCCGGTGATGCCTCTTCCAATGGTGCTTAGCCTCACACCTGTAATTAAAAACTCAACACCTACCACTCGAGCAGAACGAGTTGCCATGCAGTCCAGAGATCTCCAAAACGTGTCGATGCAACAACCTTTAATCGACGAGTCATCCGATCAAGAAAACCCCAAAAAGCAGAAAACTGAAATCCTCCAACCAGAGAGTCAGACACACACCTGCTCAACAGAGTCTGCGTCAGTGGTTCAAGAGTGTGCTGCTGATTCTGCTGCCCAATATGAAGAGAAAGAATCTGATCTAAAGACTCACTTTGCAGAGAGTGTTACAGGAACTGTTAAAGATGATGTCCTTGTGCATTCTTATGAACTTCAAACCAATGAGTCGTCTGTCCTCTTGTTAGATGAACAAACAGATTGTCCTGGTGTAGCTCAGCTTTTGAGGGATGAGAGGTCACCCACCTTACCCACACATCACCAAACAAAAACAGAAGAGGAAAACGTCGTCAAAACTCTTTTCTTTGATTCCCCTCGACGCGAAAACCTCAGCAGAGCCTTCTGCAAACTTGACTGCATGTAGTGAGTCTCCTGTGCAGCGTCTCAGTGTAAGATCTCCTGCCAGAGATTTCAACGAGTCCCCTGAATGCCCCACAAGTCCTCCCAGAGTCCTCAATGTCCAAGCCCAGCTCCTATTCAGTCCTCTTCTTGCATCAGCACCGGGCCGATTCATAACCCCACACTTGCACTCTTCTCTCCTCGCTACCAGCCCATCATTTCCATCCTTAGGACCCACCCCTTACCCCGCCCCTGCTGCCCTCCCTCTGTCTTCGTCTGCATCTGCCCCAGTCCTCACACTGCCTCCCAGTCACAGCCCATCCACTCAGGCCCTCTCCCCTCCTGTTCTCTCTCCCCGTCTGTCCCCGACTTGTGTCCCTCCCAGCCAGCCCCCAAACTCCCCTGCCCCTAAAATCCAGGTTTCATCGGGGATGTCAGAGAGGGTGGAACCTGCTACCTGCCCGTCTGTCTCCAGCATCCACCATCATGGCTTAGGTGTGCAGGCTGGCATGAGGATAGAGGACACAGCAGAGGGCAACACTTTAAGATGTGTACACACCCTGAAGGTAAAACATTTGAATTGTAGTCGAATAAGGATTCAATGCTTGGCCTCGTAATTTGCTGGAGATAATTGTGTGTATTTGAGTGAATTGAATGTGTGTGTTTAAGGCCCCAGCAGGAGGCTGCCTGGTGGATGTGTGCTGTCTGCCCGGACCCTCAGTGGTTTTTGTGTAGCAGCAGCAGGAAAGTGGGCTGTTTGTCTGTGGAGTCAGACTGCAGCCTCTGACTGGAGCCTAACACACACCTGGGCCTTCAATGAGGTGAGTGTGGGGGATGCATTTACAGATGTATGTCTGGACAAATATCACAAATTCATTGGTTCCAGCTTTAAAAAAATTAAAATCTGACTTATTTAATTGCACATTAAGTATCCTCGCCGTTTGAGGCAATTAGTTGGGAAAAACAGAACACTTTTTTAACATCACTACCAGTGTTAAAGATAGGGGTGAGCTGATGTGTGAACTCACCAGATTAAAAGTCAGGAGAAATGTACTGCGCTGAGCAGAGGTGGTGATGAGGATTATATCACGCAACCAGTGAGCGACTGGTGCCATAGTTGTGCATGTGATGGAGCAGCTTCATACTCTTTTCTGCTCACCAGTATCTTTGCCTCTGCTCATTAGGCGATTAAAATCCAATTACACGTAGCATTGAAGTAAAAACTGTCATCATAGCGCCAGATGTTGCTTCACCTGTCATCTTGGGTATCTTGTAAACATACAGGCTGCAGCGTCCTTTTCACATCATGTCCTGCTGCTTTTCGACTTTCATGGAAAGAAAAGACAAGCATAAAGACAAAACTAATGATAGAAAGTAGATCTGAGCAAAATAGTGGATATGGTTTTAGAACAGGGATTTTTAAAGAAAATAAATGTTTACTGTAATTTGTATAATTTCAACACAAACAGCCCACAGCTCTCCTATGCTCCCATAGTTCAAAGTAACCTTAAAGTACCTCTCCGACACAGTTTAAATGTCAAAAGTCTGTGAGCTAAGATTAATAAAAGTGAACAATCAATTCCAAAAAAGGCTCCTGAAACGTAGGTACATTTTAAATGTGCAGACAGGAGAAATGCAACAGCATAACTAATTCATTCATGTTAAACTGAGACCAAAGCAGAATGTGTTAGCAGCAGGAATCAATTCAAATCATAAATAGAATTCAGAGTGGAAAAAGAATTGAGATTCTTTTACATATTTTCAAAAAGCCCTGTTTTGAAAAATTCAACATTTACTATATCCATGTTCAAAAGTGATACTATCTTAAATTGCACGCTTCAGTCTGTTTGAATGTACATGTTTCCCCTTTATGAATATAACGGTGTGTTTGTTTACAGCCAGTGATCAATGTGTTTTCCGTCCCTGATGCTGCTGGGCTGATGTGTGTGACTCTGGGACAGTTAGAGATAAAAGAAGTGAGGTGAATACCACAAACACCCTGTCTGACTTTCTGACATGTATTTTTTTCTACTTCTAGGTAACATTATGAGGAATAATAAAACAATTTGTGTCGTTCCAAATATGTTTTCAAAGAATCCTAAATAAACGGTTTCAGAAATCAAACGTCACTGTGTGTGTTGTCCTCGTGCACAGGATGCTCTCATGCTCCAGCCTCTCTCAGGTGTTGCTCTGTGCGGGGCTGGTCCAGGCTGTTGTGTGTGTTTCCAGATCCAGAGTGGTTACCTCCTCTCACTCGGCGTGTGGCTCCACCCTGCAGGTGTTTACACTGTTAGACAGTGGCAGGTTAGTGAGTGCTTTATGTATTCTCTCTCAGTTATTGTCTCATGGAACATATACCCAGTGTCTCCTCTGTCTCTCAGCACATGGAGCTCTCAGCTGCTGGTGTCTCCTGGTGTTTGTGTCGGGGCCATCGCTCCAGTGAACGGACTCTTAGATGCTCTGATTGGCACAGATGAAGGTGGAAGTCTCCTCATCTGGTAAGCAATTAGAATGGTTTTATTATGTACTTGCTGTCTTTGTAAAAAAAAAAAATTAATTCATTAGATTGCATCGAGATTTTTGTTCCTACAAGAGGTATATTATTCTAACGTTTAGTTGATGTGGACCAAAGCATTGTGAAGGAGTTTGTATCATCATTCCCCACTCTCGCTCTCTCTCCCTGATTTTTGACTCTATACATTGTCCTATCTCTACATTAAAGGCACAAAAAGACCCCCAAAAATAAATAATAAAAAATAAAAAAAATGTGTTTTTTTTCCTGTGACACAAATGCCATGTGAAGGGTGGCCAGACTCAGTCTGTAAAGTAGAGTGAGGAGCTCTGGATAACAGAACTTGTAATAGAGCCGCTAATCTTTTGTATCAAAAGGAGCCAGTTGAGGTGGTTTGACCTTATAAGGTCCCTTTGAAGGGTTTTTGCGTATGTGGTACCCAGAGGAGACCCCAAGGTACACCCAGAGCTTGCTGTATGGATAATATATCCCATCTGGCCTGACAATACCTCAGAACCCTCCAAGAGAATCTGGAAGATGTTGTTGGGGAGAGAGATGTTGACTTGTTTAGCCTACTGCCAACGAGAGCCGGATAAGCAGAAGAAAATGGATCGATGGAAAAATGTTTTTACTATTTTAGATAGGTTTTTAAGTAGTACAGTACTGTTATCCAAGAAAATAAAAATGACCATAACCCTGGACGAATCCATCATTAAAAATCATAGAAATAACTTTATAAACACCTGTCCTGATTAAGGCCAGTATGGCTGAAACAAAATGTTTCTATGAATATGAAAGTGCCTCAGACCTCTTCTATAGCTTCTACGTTGGATCCCCAAACTGACGAGCACCAGAGGGACACATTCTTTTCAACTATTTTTAAAGACATTTGTCAGCACCCATGCAGCACTCACAACACAAGTTGAAAACAAATAGCAACATCCTGTACAACAGCATGTTACTATAACTCCATTTGTAGAGCTGAGTCCAGCTCCTCCAGACTCTAACCTGAAACACTGTTCTTTACGGCACTACATTGTTTTGTTTAATTTTTGTGTTTGTGTGTCACAGGAATTTAAAGACAGGACAGCTGCTCAGGAGAATAACCCTGACTGATGGTTTATCACACACAGCTTGTCTCAGAGGATACTCCTACTGTGTAAGTTTACTTGCTTTGCATACGAGGCCACACGACCTGTTGTCTTTTAAAATCATAACACCCCCCCACTGTGATTTGTCCCGTGTGCTTGTGTGTCGCAGGGAGTGTTATTTGTCCTGCTGCAGCATCAGTTTCTGACCTCCCTGGAGGAAGCAGAAAGACAGACCGAAGAAGAAGATCAAATCTTCTCAGAAGAGGAAGTAGCGAGGAGGAAGAGCGTCCTATTCTCCCTGGTCGCCGTGAACCCTCTGACTGGAAAATCTGTGGTTGCCACTCGGCTGTATCCGCCCAAAGCGTGGTCCGGCAGGTGAGAGACGAAGACAGGGGTGTGTTTGTATGTCTCTTAACTTATTACTAACGCCTTTCTGTGTTTGTATTTTGCAGGCTGTGTGAGGCTGACGTTAGCAGCTCCAGCGTGGTGGGCCTGAGTCAGAGTGGCTGCGTGTGTGTGTGGGAGCTCCTTCACCCGGGCGGCTCCAGGATGGTGTGGTCTCCTGAGAGTGAAGGCTGGCAGCTGGCTCGATGGGGCGGAGAAGGTACTCTGGTGACCGGACATCACAACGGAGACGTTAGTTTACACTGCTACTACAGCAGTCAGACACTTCTCTCTCACCCTAACATGAAACACTCTCTTAATAAAACAGATGAATGTTGACATGAAGATTTTAGCAATGCTTCAGTTTAGACACACCTTTTAAAATACTTTGCACCTAAGTGAAAAGCAAAGCGGATCTGTGGCTTCAATAAAGAATTTTATCCCAGCAAGTACAGGAGAGACTCTGTAACTTGAAGGCCACAGTTTATTGATATACTGTAAACAATTCAGTTGTAAGAGTTCTTCTACCTCATGGTGTCTTTTTACTGTGACTTCATTCTGAAAACTACTGTTGTGTTTTATTACTGCTGCTGTTTGACTGTTTCTGACAGTGTTTAAATGTTATATTTCATATTTAAAGAAAAGAAAGGCTTGCCACAATGTGTTTTTATTACTGACATTAAAAGTTTCTGTATTCTGTTATTGTTGTTGTTTTCTGTGTACTTTACTTTTATATTGTTTTGGTGCACTTTAGACAAAATGTTTTTATATTAAAGAAGGCAGAGAAATATTTTGTATTTTTTGGATATAAAAATACACATGATATATTTTAAATTAACAATATGTATCTTAGTTATTAAAATGTTAATAAATTAAATAAGAACTTAAATAGAAATGTAATTCAGTGGGCCCCTTCTCTCAGACAGGATCCAAAGAAAGAACTTCAGCACATGAATCAGTTATGACAATTTTTTTAACATCAAAACAGAAGATTTGAGTCCTTTCCACCGTAAACATGTTTTGGCCACAGTACATAACTAAAATAAAATATTATTTCTACCTGTTTATTTACTTTTTTCCTTGTAAAAAAGGAAGGTTTATATGTTTTTGTTCCTCCTGCACCTTTTGGTTCTTTGTAAGTGCAAAAATAAAGAAGTATTTCTCTACATTGTAGGCTACGGCTTAAAAGAAACCAAATAAAACAAATTAATGAAAATAAAATTGAACAGATTTATGTTATGTCCACTGAATCACATTTTGAATGTCTAAGTCCTTCTCTGGGAGCACCTACCTCCACTTGTGGAGTGGCTGAAGAAGTACAAGAGTTTCTTACAACTATGCAAGACTAACGCGTTTATACCTACAATGGTGTAGAGTATTGTGTTTAGCCATTTTAATTCACCTTTCTAAATGCTGTGGGATGGGGGGGTGAATTTATCAAACCTAATGGATTATAAAGAAGAATAACAAAGCTCCTTCAAACTGCCTATCGGAAGACCTAAAATCTGTAGTTATGGACATTTTGGTTGAAATTGTGCGCTTACTGTTAAGTGAATCCTTGAAATTGAGTGTATCATATTCCCAAAATTGGTCATTAAAACTGTTATTCACCCAGCCTCCTTATCCACAAGGGGGCGCTCATAGATCATGATTTAGCCTCCTGACTTCAAGAAAAACGCAAAACACAATTCTGTAAAATTCAGTTTATGATGCAAAAGTAACATTCCTGACATGTTCAGAGAGTTGTACAGATAAACATGTGGAGGGTATGAAGGAAAACACCAAAGAAAGATGTTTCAAGATGAATGATGGCTATTGGCTAGAAAATCGAGAGTCTGACCTATGACAATGACTAGCCTACTTTATTTTCCCAACCGCCAATTATCTGGAGAAAATACTTTTTTAAAAATCGTTAGACAATGACATAAATAACGGCAACATGCTTTGTTCTCCCAGAAATAACAAGATAAATACCGGTACCAGTAAGTTTAGATCGTAAGGCCAAACTGTCTTTCTTACATCAACAAACACAATGTCTAACAAGCAGCCAATAGAAATAATTTATCAAACCACAACAAGTTACGTTTGTTCAAGAGAATCTTTATTTAGACTTGGATAAAATTTAACCATCTTTACAACATGTACGCATATTCAGCAGTATTTACAGGTCTGTACATGTTGAAAAAGACAAGACATCTAAAATAGACTTAAAAAGTGTAAAAAAAAAAAAAAAAAAGTGGCTACAGGAGGAAAAATACTGTACATGATGTAGACGTATTAACATGGTCCATCTCTCTACAGACAACACAGATAAAACAGACAAACTAGAGAAGCGACCAGAGAAGCTTGTTTTCCCCATCCACACAGCCAGGCAGAGTTTTCAATGCCCAACACACACACACACACACACACACACACACACATCTGTTCACTCAGCTTCAAATACACAACTGCTGAGTAAATGAAAACAAACAAGCAAAGAGAATCATGGTGGAACTTTAAGATGATGATTCTGAACACCAAAAGCCTTCAACGCTTCCTTCAATACTCGTTTAAAGTGATGGGGTATGCTCGTCTGCTTTGTGGCTGGAGAGTTAGTCGTCAAGGATTGTTTCAACGTGAACATGTTGGTCAAGCTTCATCAGAAAAATTAAAGAGATTTGACCGACAGCAGGAAGAACGATAAAAATAAGTGGATGACAGGCAAAAACTCCACAATATACAAGTGATTCATTTTCAAGGTACACGGTCAGGGCCGAATAAAAATCATGAAACCCAGAAAATGTCAGGATCTTTCCGTTCTCAGAGCCTGACAGAGAGAAGTGGCAAGTAAATATTGAAAGTGGGGGTTTAAGACGTGGTCTATTGTGCGGCGGCCGGGGAAGGTTTGCTGTCCAGCAGTTTCTCCACCATCAGCTTGGCGTAGCGAATGCGGCTCGCCAGCTCTTTAGTGCAGCCGAACTCCTCGAGCAGAGAAAGCTTGTAGGTGCGGAATTCTCGCTTCTCGTCGATGTAGGTCACAGCGCCCATCAGAGGGCACAGGATCAGCTTGGTGTGGTCCTGAAATAGTGGAGAATTTTTAAATAAAATAGAAATGGATACAGGACGTGTTAAGAGGTCATGATGAGTGAGTAATACATTCAATTTCACAGCTAATAGAGTGCAGAAGACATGAATAAGGTAGTTACTGATGTACTCTTGTACAGACCGTATTTCAGGCATCTCACCTTAAAATCCTGCTGACTTAAGTGAACATATAACTTTTTCCTGTTTAAGGACCTACTCCAGCAGAACTTTAAGCGGGGAGAAGAGGCGGTGAGTGTCTTACCTGGAAGAAGTTGATCTGAACGGTGCCATTGGTGAGGTGCAGCACGATGGCGCTCTTGGTTCTGAACCACAAGGAGAGGTAAGGAAGCCGCGCCAGCTCATCGCCTTCCCGCCGCGCAATGTTTGCACCAGCCTTCAGCAGGTGCTCGCTCATGTAGTTACGGAAATATTTCAGCAAAGTTATCTGTAGGGGACAGAGAAAGGGACATAAGTATGAACACGATGATATGGACAAAAATAAAAAGATTTCATAGAGGTGTAAAGACAAAACATTGCTGATCTGTAACTTTGTTAACGTGTTAATGTCCCGGTACACAGAGTCCTGGGAGTCCTTCAATCTTGCGACACTATCACATTGACCTTTTACCTTTCCAAGAGAATAACATTAGCGGGAGATGGCAAGCTAGATAGCTAGCGAGGGGTCATACAAGGATTAGCCCATGACTGAAATCGCCAAACAATTTGTATTTCTCCATAAGTGCTGATATACTTTAATGTATGGTTAGCCAATCTGATTGTAGCCTATTATTAGGGATTCAAATATGATCAAAGGAGAGATTCACACCCCTAACATTAAACCTATGATGGACTTCATTTGACAATACCTTCTTGTTGAGTGTGGCAGGAAACGAGCGAACGCTGAGGTAGGATTCAGCAGCTGTTTTGTCAATGTACTGCAGACTGTCTCCATCAGTGTACATGATCAGACGGGTGTAGTCGTTGAACAGCACACCAACACTGTTGTCACACAGCTGGTAGCCTAAAAAAACAAAAAACATTTAAGTCAATCTTGTGTTAGACCTACTCAATTGAATGTTTTCTTCTTGGCTCTCTCTAGTGGACAGTCTGTGTCATTACTACAAATCAGTCTGTTACTCATACTTTGTTCATGAAAGGGATTTTGACGTTATTGAAGGAAAAGCACTGGCTTCAATAACATAATGATGAATGCATACATGTTGACTAGGTCACATAAGTGAAATGCAGCGATCATTAATGATACCATGGAGGAATCAAGACTATTGGCTGATTGATTTCAACTGCAACATCAAACGAACGACTTGACCTTTGTCATCTTTTTGGAAAGGGAAGTGTTTGAAAAAAAAAAGTCTAAGTAGCTGTTAAAGTTATCTGAACCTTTACTTATGTAAAGTATTTACTTAACATTGTTATCACAGTTAGGCAAGCCTTTGCAGCTTGAACTGTACAGTTAACTGATATACTGTCCATTGATACAACTTCAAAACCAAAAGACTTAAGGCCATGCTGATTCAAATTTACTAGCCGTTGTTCAATCTTACTACTAGTAGAAGTCGAGCTGGAATTGGAATCAGTTTAATGTTTACCTAATCCATATTTGTCCGAGTAGTCCACCCATTTGCTGATCCAGAAGATGGGAATACATGCAGGATCCTCGGCCTCCCCTAGAAATACAAAAGCACAAAATCTTTTATGGCAATGTTGAAACAAAGGGAAACATTCAGTGTTGAAAAAACGCAGTTCCTTTAGTATCCACAGCAGAAACATGTTTAGTTTACATCCTGGTACAGATAAACTCTTTGGGTCTGAATAGCTCATGTCTTTATTGGCACACACTGTAAGGGGACAAGATTCTTCCGTATGACTCATCCATTTTGGGGGATGACTGATATGATTGACAGGCGAGCTTGTTGTAGCCGTTTGCTAGGAGGCTAGTGTCAACTGAAAGTTTGGTGGAGTCAGCATTTCCAGTATAGTCAACCACAAACGTTGGGCTTCAGAACAATGCTTCAATAAAAAAAGGCAGACATCACTGAGACTACCACCCATGTTTTACACAGGCTATGGTTGACACAAGCACTAAAATGATCCAAACCTTTAAGAGAGGACATTAAAACAGATAGGATTTATCAGCTTCACTGAAGAGTCTGCACTCACCTTGGCAGATGACGGCCTTCTCTGACGGTTTGGCAGCAATGATGCTGTTGAGCTGCTGCAGCATATCTTTCAGGTGGTTTTCTGACTGTTCAGGCTCCCTAGAAAAAATAAAAATAAAACAGTACTTGGCAAAACAAACTGTTTAAGAGCACTGTGCTTGGCCCAAACAATTTAAGATGAAGTCCCATTTGCTTTGTCTAACTTGCACAACATGCAGTGAAGGCAAAGACACAGACAGCTTGAAATATTCTAATCTTTAGTCTCAAACATTTAACAAATATCTCACCTTTGCATTGGATCGTCTTTCATATCCACCTTCTCTGTCCCTCCTGGAAAGAAAAAAACAAAACAAATCTTTACACTTTGTTCACACCAAGATATTTGGATACAATTCATTGTCTACCTATATCCTGTAACTGAAATATTACAGCATGATTTTAAAATCATTTCAGGATGAG